AAAGCTTCAGCAACTGGCTCATCAATATCATCAAAACAAAGAGCCCGAGCTACAGGCCTTTTAACAGGAGACACCTTCCTCCTCTGGCTGGATGGAGGAACAGGTGCAGATAGCAGCAAAAAATTGGGGGCTGGATCACTACAGAGAGACTCCCAGGATTGTTTGTTCAGTAAAGCACTAATATCAGACTTGAAGACAAACTTTGGAATGTCAGAGGACCAGATAAACAGCATCACCTTCTCAAAATTGCGCTGCCATTGCATCACAAGGGGCAAGATTGGCCCAAAACAGTGAGCACTTGCCCAATCATAAGTGGAGGCTGTTGTGGTCCCATTGGGTGTTGGAAGACAGCCACATCCGCAGCGATATTCCCATTGTTAACTGAATCTTCAGATAGCTGCAGAACAATAGATTCCTGAGACTGAACTTCCTCAACATTGGCTTGCTGCACAACATCATGGACATGTGGTGGAACATTCCGCTGCTGCTCATTGACAGGGGGTGGCACATCGTTCCAACCTAACTCTGGAAATTCAGGCATGACCCAATTGTGGCTATTGAACTGCATATTGCCAGGGAGTGGGTGCGGATTGCCATTGAAGGGCATTGGGTCTTCATCAGCTGGCAGGATATCAGCAAAATCCGCTGAGAGAATATAGACAGGCGCAATCCAAGAAATCCTAGCCCCTCCAAAATCAGCATATTCTCTGTATGCCACTGATCTTGGAACTAGAGTCGGTGCAGGGAAAGAAACATAGGCAAGAGATCGGACCAGCATCGGATCATCCTGATGTCAATGGTGGAAGTGGCCAAAAGTGCTGATAACATCGGCAAGATACTAAGAGCTCCTATAATCTAGAGGAACACCCGGCAACATAATCCATCCACGGTGAAAACCCTGCGTTGCTCTGTAGTTGATACCCTCATCATGCGGAATAAACCAAACAAATCAATCGTTACCCAAATCGAAAGGAGGATGATCTACTAAAGCTTGGTGAGCCAAAGCACTACGGAAATGAAACAAGCCAACCCCTTGAATCCACGGTTGAGCATCCAGAATAGCTCTTCCCAGGTTATTGACAACAAAATCACTGACCATATTCCGAAAGATGACAACTTCTTCAGGCAGAGGAGCTGGATTGACAATGGCGATGGCATAATCCTCATGCTGCCTATCCGGTGCCACCGCCGGCGCGAAGAAAGTGCGGGGCAGACGTAGCTCTCTGCCGTCGATGATGTCAAAACCATGCGGAAGAAAATCCATGGGGTCAAGCGCGAAGTTGGCCATAGCCGGAGCCGGGGACGGAGAGCAGTACTGGTTGGTAGTGCTGTGGTAGGCGGGTAAGACCGACGGCGGTGAGGTGGTAGGCGATAGAATCGGGGAGGGAGGCGGGGGAGGTGTTATGGGCGGTGGCTCTGCGGGCAATGGTGGAATAGGTGGGGTGGCAGGCTCGACGGGACTGGGCATAGACCCAGCAGGACTAGCTATGGTGGAAATCGAGGAGTCCCGCTCAAAAAATCCTGTTGACCGGTTGGACTCAGAAGATTTGCACCGAGGGACCCACTTGTAAGAGGGAGAAGGGCTAGAATCCGAATAGCCCTTTGCATGGTGTCCCAACCGAAAACATCTACGGCACCTAACCTGGCTGGTGCACGCGCTGGTTAAATGTCCCATGGACAAACAATTTTGGCATTTCCAAACTTTAAAAACCATGTCATCAACAAGATCATTAAACTTATCAGAATCTCCAGGTGAGTCCGATGTGTTGGAAAGAATAAACTCCTCATTTCCAAAACCAGATGGAGAAGCAGCTTGAGATATGGAGCTAGCTTGGGCTAAAACAACATTCCGGGCCGGGGAAACAGCCTGGGCCGGGGGAATAACCTGGGCTGGAGGCGTGACTGGACCAGTCAGCTCCCCCCCATGCACATGCAGATTCACATCCAAACTGGTTGGGGAGGCCACTGAAATCCCGGCCGAAGAATTGGCATGGACGTTGACTGTTACGAAAATGATGGGTGGTTCCGCCACCGTCCATCGGAGCTCAGTCGCCGGCGGCGGAGGCAAGATAACTCTCTCATGAGGCAACACAGAATACCCAGCATCAGAGACCGCATCAACAAGGCCTAGCTTCGTGTTATTTTACTACATACTCTTGAATAGATCGATCAGAAAGGATACTTTGAGGTGGTTTCGTACCCTACAATAATCTTTTCGTTTGTTCTCCGCTATTAGTGACTTTGGAGTGACTCTTTGTTGCATGTTGAGGGATAGTTATATGATCTAATTATGTTATTATTGTTGAGAGAACTTGCACTAGTGAAAGTATGAACCCTAGGCCTTGTTTCAAAGCATTGCAATACCGTTTTCGCTCACTTTTATCATTAGTTACCTTGCTGTTTTTATAATTTCAGATTACAAAAACCTATATCTACCATCCATATTGCACTTGTATCACCATCTCTTCGCCGAACTAGTGCACCTATACAATTTACCATTGTATTGGGTGTGTTGGGGATATAAGAGACTCTTTGTTATTTGGTTGCAGGGTTGTTTGAGAGAGACCATCTTCATCCTATGCCTCCCACAGATTGATAAACCTTAGGTCATCCACTTGAGGGAAATTTGCTACTGTCCTACAAACCTTTGCACTTGGAGGCCCAACAACGTCTACAAGGAGAAGGTTGCATAGTAGACATCATTTAGCCATATTCTAAAGGTCAGAGCATATCCAACATCAGCCATTTGACTAACACTCCTTTTGGATGTTGATATTGCGGCCCAGATTTTGGCATTGGCATTAGACAACCCGAATATCTCTGTTGGATGACCATGGAATTGACGCTCGGTATTGGCCCAAGATATTGGTCGGCCTACTTTCCTTCCCCGTTTCTACTATCCCGAAAGCAGAGGCTCCTACCTTGACTTCGCTCTGAATTCGGGGATCGAGCGCCCCACTTACCGGTTCGTTCGCTCACGCTCCTAGAGAACGCAGAAGCAGCGCGGGGAAGGAGGAGATGAAGGGCGGCGGCGCGGCGCACATCGAGCTCCCCAGCAGCGGAGGTGACTCTCCTTTCCTCTTTCTCCGCCACAGGTGTGCCTCTCCGCGTTTCTCATACCCGCACAGGCACCTTCGGCGCAGGCTCACAACTCGCTCCCCCCACCCCGCCTCCGATGCACAAGCACTACGGCGGCTGCCGCCTTGCCTTCCATGGCGATGGCTGCATCTCTTCCCGCCCCCCATGGCTGCTGGCCTGCTGCTGCTTCTCCATGGGCACTATCCCCTAGGCCCCCATCTCAAGAAACCCTAGAAAATTAATTCCTTCTAATTTCTATACGATGTTCATCCTGTTACAAATAAACAATTCCAATGTAGAGAATGACCATCCAAACAAGCTTCAGAATTGAACCCCTTATGCGAATTCGAAGTGTCAATTTCGTGCACATCCAAACAATAGAATTCAGGTTCAATGTCAATATCAAAGTCAATCAGATTTGATATTGGGGCCAATTCAAAACCATGGCCCTCAATATCAACATCCAAATGGAGCATAACAGTTTTCTCTGTTTCATTCCATATTGCATAGAGCTCAGGGAAGATTTGTCATAGGGGCTGAGCTCCACACCAGCAATCATTCCAAAATTCAGTTTGCTCAACAACGACAATCCGTCCCCGATGTTGGAGGATGAAGAAGGTCGGTCCCATGGAAGTTTGGTGTAATTTTCTTTATTTTTAGGGAAACGTTTGGGGCCGGGGCACCGGCCGAACCACTCGGCCGGTCCCGCGCGACCTGTGCGATCCCCTTCCATCGGCCCACAAATCGCTCGCCATTAACGCCCCACGCGGCTGCGCTGCTTCCTCTCTCTTTCTATTTCATCTCGCCGGTCCCTATCTCAGTTGGTCGTCGCCGTTCGCCGCCCCCGCCGGCCGTCCTCATCGCCGGTGGCCACCCGCGCCGGCCGTCCCCGTCGCCGTTCGCCGTCCTCGCTCGCCGGCCCCGGCGGAAGCTGTAACCGCGTCGTGGCCTGCTGCAACCGGTGCCCAGGAGAGCTGCCATCATGGATGGCGAGCATGGTGACGGCGAGCTGCAAGGAGGGCGGAGCTCGCGCTGCAGACATGGCGGAGGCATTGCAGAACCTGCCGCACGCCCTCATGCTACAACCGTTTAATAAAATGCTTCAAACCAAGATGAAAAAAGCTTCAACCAGATACATCAAAAGCTGCAAGCAGTCATTGCCATGGCGGAGTGCTACAACCGTCGACATAAAATGCTACAACCCTTGATGAAAAAGCTTCAACCCGAAACAATATAGAAAGCATTAACCAAGGCTGCCATAAAGAAAAAAGCTGCAACCGTTTGATAGAAAAGCTTCGACCGTAGATGAAAAAAAGCTACAATCATTGAAAAAGAAAGCTACAACCATACACTGCATAACCAGAAAAGTTGCATCCGTTATAGAGAAAGCTTCATTCGTATGTGCGAAATGCTTCAACCTGCGCGTGTCGCCAACGAGCCGCAATCACACAGTGGATGGCTGACGGCCGTCGTCGACGCAATTTCGTGCAGCGATGAGCATCAACGACGAGGGGCGGCGGCGGAGCTACAATCGGGGAGAGCTACAAGCGTCGCCGCTGCAAGCTGCAACCGCATATGTAGTTGTTTCATGTGTCGCGGCGACGATGAGGACGGCTGGTGAGGGTTGGAAGCGGCGACGGGGACGGGCGGCGAGGGTTGGAAGCGACGACGGGGACGGGCGGCGAGGGTGTGGATGGGCGGCGAGGGATAGGAGGCGCGGCGCGGCGCAGCCCGAGCGAGGGGATCGAGCCGAGGAAGAAGAAGCTGGGGACGAGTTTTTTTTTTTTGCTCCAGATCCAACCGCGCGCAGCTCGCATCGAACGGCTAGGGCTGGACCGGCCGAAACATTCGGCCGGTGCACCGGCGCCTAGCATCGCCCTTATTTTTAAGGGTGTCTGTACTGCTATGTTTGGTTAACAGACATGAGTGTTCTTTTTTTTTGGTTAACAGCACACTTCACTTCTTCACTCAACTTTGCTAGCAGAGGGCGGGGGAATTTCACATGTAGTACAGTCATACTCTTCTACATGGAGCGAACAGAAGAGTTGAACACAACCCCGGCGGACGAACGGATGACGCGCAGCCAGACGAGGCCCGCCGCGATGCCACCAACGTCCACCTCGCCGTCGCCGGGGGACCTAGTGGCGCTCTCCGCCCGGTGCTCCACGAAGCGCGACCTCCGCCTCATCCACGGCGCCCTCCTGCGCCGCCGCCACCTCCTCCCCGCCGCGGACGCCGTCGCGGCGCTCGCCAAGCTCCTCCGGTTCGCCGCCGTCTCCCCCGCCGGCGACCTCCGCCAAGCAGCCGTGATCCTCTCCACCCACCTCCCGTTCATTACCTCGGCCTCCACCCACCCCGCCTTCTTCTATAACACCCTCATGCGCGGCCTCGCCGCCTCCTCCTCGCCCGCCGACGCCATCGGGCTCTTCGCCGCGATGCGCCGCGCGGGCGCCGCGCCCGACGCCTTCACCTTCACCTTCGTCCTCAAGTCCTGCTCCCGCTGCCCCTCGGGCCGGCGCTTACCTTCCGACCTCCACGCCCAGGCGATCAGGCACGGCTGCCTCGGCGAGCTCGCCGCGCACACGCACGTGCACAATGCGCTGCTTCACGCCTACGCGTGCCGGGCGGCCGTCGACGATGCGTGCAGGGTGTTTGAAGAAATTCCGGCTCGGGACGTGATCTCCTTCTCGGGGCTGCTCACTGCGCATCTCAAAGCCAATGATCTGGACGCTGCCCGCCTCGTGTTCGACAAGATGCCTCACCGGGATGTCGTTTCTTGGACTGCGATGATTTCAGCATATGCCAAGGCTTGCCGGCCGCAGGAGGCCTTGGCATTGTTTGATGCCATGCCAATGCAGCCAGACGAGGTGACCATGGTGAGTATTGTGTCGGCGTGCACCACACTCGGGGATCTTGCAACTGGGGAGCGTGTGCGGAGGCACATTGATTCCCTTGGTTTTGGATGGATGATGTCACTTCGCAATGCACTCATGGACATGTATGCTAAGTGTGGTTCCCTCCCTGAAGCTCGAGCTTTGTTTGATGGGATGACGGTGAGGAGCTTGGCATCTTGGAATACGCTGATCTCGGCATATGCATCACATGGCGATCTGGATAACACGATTGCTGTGTTCTATCAGATGCTGGCAGAAGGAAACACTGTGAAGCCGGATGGGGTCACGTTTCTCGCAGTGCTTATGGCGTACGCATACAATGGCTGTGTTGAGGAGGGGCGAGCCATGTTCAATGCGATGCAACAAGGCGGCTATGGCAAAGTGGAACTAACAGTCGAGCACTACGGGTGTGTGGTGGACATGCTTGGCCGGGCAGGGAAACTCGAGGAGGCATACCAAATGATTGAGCAAATGCCAATTCCAAGCAATGCTGTGATCTGGGGTGCGCTACTTGGTGCTTGTCGGACTCATGGGGATATTGACATGGCAGAGCGGGCTGTGCAGGAACTAAGGAACCTAAAACCAGAGGAGGGTGGGTACTACATTTTGCTCAGTGATATGTACACTTCTGCTGGTCGGATAGCAGAGGCCACAGAGATTAGACGTGCCATGAATGAGAGGGGGGTCCAGAAGACTACAGGCCGGAGCACTGCCTTTCTGCCTCAGCTTTAGTTTACCATTATCTGGTTATCCTTAAGATCACAATTTACAATCACAAGCATTTTATGCTAGCCAGATGGTGCATACCAATCTATCTTCTCTTCACACCAGACAAGCCTATTGATTGGTCACATTTGTCTCAGTCTTCTTACCAAGGTGTGATGGTTGATATCGATGGTGCAAGGCTGCTGGCAATTATCGCTCGGTAATCAAAATGCCTGTGCTGATAGACTAGTTGAGTTGAGTCAGGTGATGGTACATAGACAATGGCAACACCAAAGCCAGTTTCAGTATTTATGTACCAGTCCATACTTGATGCTTACACACAAAGAAGTGACATTTGCGTTACTGGACCTTGAAGGCCTGAACTTCTTTAAAACCAACCCCTTCAACATCTTAGTCTTGACTACCAGGTGCACACAGTCATTAGGATTGCCTCTGGCTGTCTGGCATGGGCTAGAAACAAGTGTGTATTTCGAAGACCAGTATCATCTCACCTTGTGCGGCTCACTAATAAATGTGGCTGCCAGAAGGTGATGGAATCATCTAATGAACTTCAAGTGATTATACCTTGTGGGCTCTAGCGATAGTTACTTCAACGAACTTCAAGTAAGTAGTGAATAGTATTTCCAGAAGTCCTTAAATTTGAACTCTTGCCTTGCTGGTTTTAGAGGGATTGTTAGCAATAATGTTTAACTTTTTTTAGAAGAGCAGTGTGGTACACTACAATCATTTTCCGTTGAACTATTAGCAAGTGACAGGTATTCTTGGAATTAATTTGGTGGTTAATGAACCATAAATTGATATTCCTTTTAGAACCCAATAAACTGACAATTAAAGTCCACTAAAATGCCTTAAGATTTTCATTTTAACATGTTCTCGGTATCCCTCACAGATTCCATGTTGATTAAATTTACTCATTCTCTATGTATGATTGGCAATTCCTTGTTCACATCTTTATTATACAAGCTCATCATAAGGAAATTTCTTTTCACTCTGGGTGCTTAGCTTAACATTTGCATGTTTGATGGATGTTTACTCCTGTTGTATTATATAGCTTGAGTAGATTTTTCATACTGAGGTTCAGAAAATTAACTGTGGTTAGCTTACCTTACGGAGAATTGTTTTGGAGGAAGAGAAGAGAAAGATTGACGGATCACCGCATACAGCCTGCTAGGTGGCACAGCTGGGACGAACCCGATGATGAAAAACACTATTTTTCTGAGTTGCAAGAGCCTTGACTGTAAGGTTATTCATCGTTCGCTGCTTAATACGTTGCATATGTGATGTTGACACTTAATATTGTCATTCATGACAGGTGCGCTTGTTCAGGATCCAGCATGTTGAACTGAATAAATTGGTGCAAAGAATTGGCCGGTGACTAAGTTGTACTGCCCCTTGAACGAACTTTAATTGGCTCGTGCATCAGGAGTGTATGACTCATTTACAAGATGGGAACAGAAGGAGCAGCTTCAGCAAAGTATGCTATCTGGTCCAGCAGATGAACTAAACTGAAGAATGCAGGCCACTGAAATTTTGAACCTCTGCCTTGGTCCAGTAGATGTGCAAACGAGGACCAGAAACAAATCCTGATTGACTGGGGTATCATGCTGTCCCAGCTAGATATAGCATAGTTTTTTCTTCTTCCTCTATCGCTCTGACATTCTTGTAAATACTCTCTGTTAAACCAAAATTAATAAAATGAGTTCAGGCTGGCTTTGCCCGCCGTAGTTCCCTCAAAAAAAAAAAGAATGTACAGTTTGTTGTTTAACCTCTAATTATAGTGTGATATATTGATATAGGCATGTGTTCTCAAGTTTTTTTTGAAGAGTTCTTTATTTCACATGACAGTGGAGAACATTTTATCGTTGCCAGTGATTTCTGCCATAATAACATATGATGTGAAATATCAAGTACTATGAGCTATGTGAATCATACGTGAAGCAATTCACAGAGTAAACAACTTCCTACAGGCTACACTCCTGCTCTTCACCAAATAGTCTGCTACGTTGAGCAGCTGGTGCAAGCCTCCCAAGGATCTCATAAGTTAGCTATCTGGGCAGGAACCCGTGCTGCGCGACCGGGTCCTCGAACGCCATCATCTTCTCCCCTCGAGCGAACCCGTTGCGGTCGTAGCACGAGACCTCGGAGATGTCCAGCTCCATGCACGCCTTCACCAGCTCTTCCCCGACCCTCCGAGCGGCCTCCTGCTCGCCAACAACAAACAGCTCAAGTTCAGGTGACGCACCGTGCAGGTATTTGCTTCAGATGCAAATGCAATGCGAGTTGGACCGAGGACGAAGAGGGGTGGTCTGGATTACCACGGTGCTGCATCGCGGATCGCCACAGATTTCCTCCTGCAGGGTGCTGGCATAGAAAAGGATCTTCTTGCCATGGTCGTCGACGAGCATGGCATAGAGCTGCCTGTTGGAGCAGAAGACCGACAGCCTGGGCTTGGCCGCCGTGCCATTGTACTGCAGCCAAAGAGAATTCCCTTCAGATTTGCTGGTGGTGTGTGGCTGGAACTTGGAACCCACAACCCAATCCTGAGGTGACCAGCACCGTACCTTTTTCTGCAGCCGGCGGTTCCTGACCTTGGCGTTCTCCTTCCGTGCGCCGTGCCTCGCCGTAGCCTCCATCCTCAGGTACGCTCCGCGCCGGTGTGCCACCACGCCTGCGCGCAGAAAGACAGAGAGGAAGGAGCACATGACACTGGCAGCTAGGCATGAGCCGGTGCATAAGGCACGAAGAGAAGCCGGAAGGCGTTCCGCGGGTGTCGCTCACCTGTGTGGCACGGACGAGGGAACTCAAAGCAATTAGGCCTGAACACCAGGGAGCCGGAGGTGGAGGGACACGGCAATAGTGGCCGGCAGAGGGTGGCGCCTAGCAATGCCATCGCCATAGCAGGAGGAGACCAGCTCGGCCACGGCAATTTGTCGAACAGGTCGCGCGCGAGGTGCCACGGCCCAGTCCCGCTAGCCGGTGGCCACAGGATTCACACCCTGTGGATTTTCAGAGTAGAAGAACAATTCAGTGCAAAACACCTAGTGGTGGCACCGGCACCCTGTGAATTTTCCTCTGATGAACACCGACAGAGTTAGCTAGTTCCTGTCAAGGAGTAGTAGAAAAACAAGCCCAGTGCAAACACATGGCATTTGACCAATGAACAGACACAAAATTCAGGCACACTGACTGGACTATGCGTTGAACTCAGAGTTGGGGGTTTCGATTGGTCACGATTCTAGACTCTAGAGTGAGCGTTTGTTTCTCATCAGACAGAAATTTTTTTCTCGAATAACCATCAGACAGAGACATGCCTAGTTGGAGTCTAAGGATTCATATCGAACTCACTATGTTGGTCGCTGCGTCAGAGCTCCCGTCCTGCTGCAGCGCCGGGTGGCGGATGCCGCAGCCTGCCGGCCGCCGCGAGGTCCGAAGTCGCCACCTCGCCGCGAGCTCCTGTCCCGCTATGCTGTCGACGAATCCGCCGCCGCGAGGCCACCGTCAGGAGGGCGTGTCGCTGCTTGCGCCGTCTCGCCGTCGGCCACCGCACGCTGCGCGCCTCATCCAAAATCCGGACTCCTCCAGGGTACGGGTTTTTTCTTTGAGAGAGAACTCCTCCAAGGTACGCGAAAAACAGAGCAACGTGCAACGTTTACAAGGCCCAACTGGGCTAAGAGCCTGAGACCACTTGGGCTCCAGGACTTGGAAGAAAAGGCCCATCAAGCCTACAGAGCGCACGAGAGAGGCCGCAGCCCTCCATCCAAAAAACGAAAAGAGAGAGTCTGGCCGCTAATCACGCCACCCACCAGCGGAAACCGCCAAAACCTTTTGCTTTCGGAGGAGCAAAAAAATCTAGCCGGTTTCCTCCGGTCTTATCTCGTAACCCTTGGATTTATCTGCGCTTCCACTTTTTCCATTTAATATCTTTCATTCATCAAGAGAAAAAAAAAGAGTTAATACCACAATTGGTACATAAACTTGTAGGGGTAGGAACAGATTCATACAAAAACTAAAAAACCCCACAAAACTGCTCCTCCAACTTGTCTGCTGTAACAAAATCATACAAAAACACCTTGAGCTGCACACATGGCGCGCCAGGTAGGCTCTGTTGGGCCCGGACCGCGTTTTTGCACAAACCCCCTCGCCTTCTTCCACATTTGCACATGAGCCGTTGCTTCTGTTTTATAGTAACCCCCAGTCGACGCCCCCGATGCAAACCCCTACCAAAACCTTGCCTTTCCCCTGTTCCTCCTCCTTGCCTTTCCTTTGTTCCTCCTCCTCAACGTTTTCAAGGCGAGGCGGCGACGCGGCCGTGGAGCTCATCGCCGACAAGAGAGGGCGCCATGGAGCCGCGGCGAAGGGAACCCGGCGAGTTCCCTCCTGAATATGGTAAGCTTCCCCTGTTCCTACTTTCCCCTGTTCGTCTGCTTCCCCTGTTCCTATGTTCGTCCCATGGTTAGGTTTTCTTGTGCATATCACATGGCGGCCAAGATCAGTAGGGTTTCTTGTGCTACTTGGTCTCAATTTCGGGATCGATTTGGTCAGTAGGGTTTCTGCACGCGTCCGTACAATATTTGGCCAAGAGGGTTTCTGTGATGCTGATGGGGTTTTGGGTGGTGTGGTATGGGAAAGATTATGGCTAGTGTTAGGGGAGTTCTAGATGTGATTCTGACTGCTGCCTTACAGGGGAAGGTTGTAGTTTGGACTACTGCCATGTGCTGATGTGATTTTTGTGGCTGCTGCCTTACAAAGGAAAATTGCAGAGATAATATTGATGTGTTGTTCATAATTACAGGCTACAACACCATACAATAGTGCAGAGAAGCAGACCAAACATGGTAACCAAATTTCCCTCCTATCCTTAGTCCTGATCTCCTTCTTGTGCTTCATGATCATGGCCTTCCTCTCTTCCTTCAGCCTCATAATTCCAGCATCCTTGTCAAAGACAAATTTCTGAAGAGCCACATTCTCTTCAGCAAGTTTGCCAATCACCTGCCTAGGCCTCCCTTGCCATTCTTTGTCCACCCACTTCAGATAAGCACATGTATCATAACCCTGCAAAACACATAATACCAATTTGTTCAGTACAACAATTTGTTCAGTGCAACCTATAAACCCTGAAGATAAACAACACACCTTTTTCCACATTCTGACATGCCATTTTTAATAAAAGTTGGGCACTTGACTAACCTCACGAGGAGAAACAAGAAATCTACGACCATAGTCATATCCATCAGAGCAAACTCTTCTCGCATGGTTCAGTAAGTGGCAACAAGGGTCACTTTTGTCAGTGCCATTGAAAGCAGCATCAGGAGAGGATAGAGGTATACCCCAGTCATATTCTGGTAGGTTTTCAGTCCCCTACCATCTTATCAAATCAAATGTTAGCATCAGGAAAGCCCAAGTTCATGAGCATCTGAAGCAAATCGGCGAGGGGAAGGGGGACACGCACCTTGCAGAAATCGACATCCATGTAGCGCACCTCTCCGGTGATTTTCGCCCAAGGCTCGCCGTCCTTCGTCATGTCGGCACCGGCGAGGTCACATCCATTGAGCGGGAGAGGGTGGCTTGACGACGACGACACCCCTGCTCCACGGCGTCCTGCCTGCTGCTTCCCGCTCAATGATGTGCACCCCTTCATCTCGAGAGGGCGGCATAGACGGTTGCCGGTGAAGAGGGCGGCCGAGAGAGCGACGACAAGGGGAAGGAGCTAGGGATTTAGGAATGGGGAATCGATGCAGAGTGGGCGATGTAGTCAGGGATTCGACCGTGCAACACAAATACAGAGAGTGCGAGGGGCTTTTTTAAATAAGGTGTGTGTGCCAAAATCCAGCATGGCATGCCAAATGTCGCCTCCACAACTGTTTTGTATGATTTTGTTACAGCAGACAAGTTGGATGGGTAGTTTTGTGGGTTTTTTAGTTTTTGTATGAATCCGTTCCCACCCCTACAAGTTTATGTACCAATTATGGTATTAACTCAAAAAAAAAACTTTTCATTCAGACCGCTATGACTATGAGTGATCGACACCTGTTCTTTTCCTTACGTCCCCAGCATCACTTTCGACCCACCTGCGTCGGATCGGATTGACCTCTCCCCGCAGATGCTTGCACTGCAGCCCGGTGCTCCTGTCGTCACTTTCTCCTTTTCTTTTCCCCACGAGAGCGAAGAAAAGGAGGTAAAAAGATGCAGAAAGGGCCGACCAATGGGTCATCTGACGTGACCTCGCGCCACGGTACCAGCCATGCAGTTTCTCTGGCAGGTGGGCCCGTCCCGGGGCTCCGGGTGCACGTACGCGGACGTTGAAAACTCTCACGCCCTCTCGTTCTTCCACCTGTGATTGCTCGCAAGAAGAAAACGCCATTGCTGGATAATATTTTGTATTGGCGCTCCTACCACACATCCCTTCGTTTTCTCAAGATGATCTTGGATACTTCGTCTCTTCTGAAATTTTGGATCCAGGAACCAAGGTGTTGGTCAACTTTCGAAATTATATACTCACTTCATTTCTAAATGTAAGTATTTTTTTAAAAAAAATTGCATGGTAATACGTGCCTTATTTATAGAATAGATATCAAGTTACAAGACATGTAAGCATCGATCTTATAGGACTAAAAGTCTTTTTAGAGATTTAATATGGACTACATATGAAGTAAAATGAGTGGATCTACACTCTAAAATAAGTATATATATATATATATATATATATATATATATATATATATATATATATATATATATATATATATATATATATATATATTTTATATTGAAATCCCAAAAAAGATTTATATTTAAAAACAAATGGATTAACATATACTCCCTCCGTCCCATAATATAAGACGTTATGTATTTGGATGTAGTAACGTCTTATATTATGGGACCGACTAAATATGTTTTTGCATCATTGCATGCAAATATAATGTAGTCTACACTAGCAGCTAGATCTGGAATATACCCCCTATTATTCTCCTTTTGCAAAAATAAAAATAAAATAAATCCCAAGGCAGCATGGGAATGGATTGAGCTTTCAAACATGCAGCACAATTGGCAGTATTATGGCTACCAGATTTTTTGACGAAACAATATGAGATACTACACCAGATCGATATTGATAATACTAAGACCCTGTTTGGTTCCAATAAGTCACCTGACTTATAAGTCAGGTGACTTAAAACCAGTGACTTATAAGTCACGTCTGTTTGGTTGTCACCTGACTTATAAGTCACCTGACCACACCTTAAAATAATGCATGTGTAAAATAGATCAATAATTCATGTATAAAAGCAATAATTCATATTGTATACCCAAACAGCAGAATAGATCAATAAGATTATCTGTAGCTATCTCATATGAGTAGTATGAAAGGCAACATAAACTTGATAATTGGTATGCACAGATCCATAACATTCCAAGAGCACAATATCTTGAAGGACAGTATATCAAAAAAAATGAGTGCATTGGGTAATATAAAAAAAATGAGTGCATTGGGTAATATCAAAAAAATTGAGTGCATGCATTCAGATCCATAACATTCCAAGGCCTTTTGCCACTGTAATAACCACACCTCATTTTACAAATCCATTTCAAATATGCATATATATATCCATACAAGTATCCATACAAGTCATTAGTAACAAATACAAATTACATTGTTCGGCACTAGAACAAATACCAATTACCGCCTACTATGCAGTCCTTCCGCTATCCAATTGCGAAAAACGTTCATGTTATGATCATCATGCGAGTTTTACCCCTGCGATTCAGTTGCACGGCTTCGTCGTTGGCGTCGGCGTCGTAGGCAACTAGGCTCATCCACCATTGGAATGAACTCCTCATCATCATCACACTCTCCAAAATCTCTATCCTCCAATTTACTCTCTCTAATGAAATTGTGTAAAGCCATGCATGCTGAAATAATTTTACTTTGCTTTGGTGGTGGATAAGAGGGCATGTGCAACAAAATCCTAAACTTGTTCTTCAGTACTCCAAAGCATCGCTCTATTGCATTGCGAATTTGGGAATGTCTATGATTAAATGTTTGTTTTTTACCTCTTGGCGGTGGACCTTGATTGTACTCTTGAAAATGGTACTTCGTTCCTTTGTACGGTGCAAGATAACCAGGTTGGTTAGAGAATCCCGAGTCGATCACATAAAACTTCCCTACAATGTTAAACTGTTAGAAAAGCATCAATCATCGGGTTGATCAAAGAAATGTGTACTGCAATCTAAATGTACCTCGGGGAGGATGTGGGAAGTGGCTGCCAAATTTGTCTAGTGCTGCCTTGAACACCCTCATGTCATGAACCGACCCAGGCCACCCAGTAACGATGAAGGTGAATCTCAAGTCAAAATCACATATTGCTAGCACATTCTGAGTAGTAGTTGATTTTCGGTTCATGTGTGTGATGAGGTCTGTCTTTGGCACAACCACCTCTATATGTGTTCCATCAATGGCTCCAATGCAATTGTCGAAGAACGGAGCAAACATTGGATTTTGGACTCTTGGATGAGGTGTCCTAAACTGTGGATCTAGTGGGCGAATTATGTCTCCTGCCAACTTAACCAAACATTCCAAGACTCTATCAAACTTCCTATGAAGTGTCTCCATTGATCGAACAAAACGATTTCAGTCTGTCGTATAGATTGGGGAGCACCAACCTTCCATAAGAACATGGCTAAAGATTCCACAGATGTCATCTTCGTAGTAGACTTCAATCCATATGACTCTACTAGCAAATTGTGCAGGCTATCAAACACCTCTCTATCCATTCTAAACATGTTGAAACATTGTGTCTTATGATGTAATGTCCTCATGACCCACTCATATCCAGTTTCTTTAGGTTGGAGGTACATATTTTTATTTGCCATGTTCTCAAGGTGGTACGTACCAATGAGTTGTGCAGCGCTGAATATTATGTTCTTCCTCCTCTCTGCTGCTGCAGCTTCTTGCTCCTCCTCTTCTTCGTCCTCCTCTGCCCACTGATCCATGGTGGCAGCCATCCATTGCTACAAAAAAGGGTAGAGGATCAATTTAGTACCAACAAGTAACAGTATATGATGGATCATATGCTCACAATTATTACTCCGGTCAACAGAAATATAACACATGACCAATCAAAGTTCAAATTGCAGTTCACATAACACAACATAACATGATTCAAGTTCACATAACACGACATAACATGATTCAAGTTCACATAACACGACATAACATGATTCAAGTTCACATAACACGACATAACATGATTACTACTAGCATCACACTGCTACAGTTTACTTCTTGGTCACAATTCCTCTCTGCTGGCAGTGCATTTGGATCCACGCAAGCCTTGCTTCAATAGTCTGCATAGCTCTGAAAAAGGCCCTCTTGTTAGCATCCATGAACAACTCCGAAGCCACCCACATTTCCACGGATGCTTCAGCTACACCACACTCTTTAGCAAGAGCTACACACTGATCCATCTCTTCTTGAATTGCTTGGCGTTTTTGCACCATGATCTGTGCTTGTGCATTTACAATTGCCCTGGACCGAGCCTCCTCCCTCTTGGCATAATTGTCCTCCTTTTTCTTCCCTTCCTCCCTGTCAATCTTGATTTCATTCACCAGCCCCCTAAGAGCTTTAACCATAGGACTCTTGGTTCTCTTGGAAGGGCTCTCTCCTGTTGTTGCAATGCTGGTGGCCCTCTTGCTGCTACTACTAGCCCTCTTGTTGGCACTGCCCATGGGACTGCATGTGTCGCCTTCTCCAGTGAGATCATAAAGATCTGCTGCAACACCATTGTGCGGCTGGTTGTCTTCCTCATCAAATCCTGGACAAAATGCAGATGCTCCATCCACTGTCACATTATCGAAGATCTGCATCAAATCATCTAGATAGGGGGGCACTCGATCCTTGAATACTCTGTAGCACTCGGTTCTCCCCTTGGTATTAGCTTGCCACCATGACTCGCTTGCCAGGATTTCACCATTTGGACCTCGGCCTAGTCCACTGGACTTCACCTGCACCTCTTTCCAGAAAGTTGCCAAGACCTTTGCTTGGGTATACCTATTCTTCATAGCCTTCACATTATATTTCTGTCCACAAGATCTACGAAAATCTCTGCATATCTTCTTCCACCCAACAGGAGCCATTTGATTGTTTGGGCGGTTCCCATTACTAATCTCGCGAATGACTAATTTTAGAAAGAGTTCTAGCCTTTGTTCATTCCATTTAGCAGTATCAAAGCCACGCTGTCATGCATTGCAAATTGATTACAAAACAATACTATGTGATACATTGCAATTGTGAAACACATGAGCACTGCAAATATTACCTCATCAGAGTCGTCTTCCTCCTCGTCGGAGTTCTGAAGCATGTTGGAGCTGGTCCAATGGAAGCCTTCCTCGTCGTCGTCCAGGTCAATGTGGCCTTCAGTTTGAGAGCTTGCGGCATTGGCCAGGGACCTGCCGCGCTTGACACCACCACCATCGCGACCAGCCCCTGACCTCGCTGGACGAGGAGGCATGTCGGCGCTGGATGAGGTTCCTCGACCACCTGCGCCTCGACCCGCACCTCGACCGCGTCTAGTCGTGGCCACCACATGCTTGCCGCTGCGTCGACGGGGAGGGGCCTCCTGGGACTGCATCACATGCTGGTACTCCGCCAGGCCAGGAAACGCCGCCGCCTCGGAGTTCAGGTCCAGTCCCCCCGGCGCGGGCGGATCGACGAAAGTCGGGGCCTGTGATGCACTCGGAGCACCCACGCGCGGAGGGAGGCCGGCAACCGCCGCGCTCAGAGCACCCAGGCCTCCAGTCGCCGCGCCCAGGGCACCCAGGCCTCCAGTCGCCGCGCCCAGGGCACCCAGGCCTCCAGTCGCCGCGCCCAGGGCACCCACGCGCGGAGAGAAGCCTCCAGCCACCGGAGCACTAAACGGAGCAGCACACACACGAATCGGTGGGGAGTAGTTGCCGACCTGGGAGCCGTCACCAAAGAAGTGGTCCTCCTCGTCGGCGCCTTGGGAATCTTCGAAAAGGTTGAGCTGCAACCTCGAGTTCCTACCGGCCATGGTGGAGACCGGGCGGCGAGCGGAGGAGGCGAGCAGATCCGGGCGGCGCCGTACTGGATCTCGAAGGCGGCGTGCTGGATCGGAAGGATTGCGGCGGGGCCGAGCTCGCGATGGAGGGCGGCGGCGGCGAGGGTTTGGGTGCGCGGTGGAATCGAGCTCGGGATGGGTCACGGGTGGAATCGATGGACCTGAAGGAGAAAAGGTGGTGGGTCCCACATAAAAAAAGGTGACTTATAAGTTTTAAGTTGGGGTGGAGCAACTTATAACTTATAAGTTGGCGTGACTTATAAGTTGGGGCTGTTTGGCAAAATAAGTCACTTTTTGCACTTTTGGACTTATAAGTTGGTGACTTATTTGGAACCAAACAGGGCCTAATAAAGAGATAGCTTTGAACGAGCGCCACTAGGATATGAGCACCCATGCCCCCACACGTGCGTGGGCCCGGCCCTCTCTAGTGTTCGGTATTTAGATTTGTTTGATTTGATAGATATGGCAGCTACTTTTCAACCACAAAAAAGATTCACTACAAAAAAGAGGGCGTAAAGTAAACAAGAGAACATCACCTCACCACACAATATTGTGTAGTAGTGAGATGATAAAAGCAGAGAGGCCATAGAGAACTTTCTAGAATAGATAACTCAGTGACATGTAGTCGTGTCTCTTGCTGGCTTTGACAAGATTTTGGCTGAATATTCAGCACATAGGGTTTCATGTGAATTGTCTCTTATCTTATCTGAGCGTACTTCACCGTGTCGGACAAAACTTTGTGCGAGATAGACCAGATTCTCTAGGGAGCCCGAAATGGGTACATACTAGACATGTACTAAAAAAAATTATGCCATGCATGACATGTCGTTTGAGAAAGGGAACCAGAACACGGGAACTCGGGGCGCCCCCCGCTCGGGCGACTCGGGTGGCTCCCCAACCCTAGCCGTCGACGGGGCCTAGCCCATCCTCCTCCCCTCCTCCCGCCGCTGCCGGAGGACGCCACCGGCTTGCGCCCGGAGGCCGCCGGCGGTGGTGGGGGCTCTTCCTCCCTCCCGCGTCTCAAGGGTGGCGGCACCCCAACATGCGTGGAGGTGCGGCCGATCTTCAAGCGGCAGCATTGCCTTCGACGGCGTCGGCGGTCGGCCCTGCCTCGGGCCACGTGCGGCTGCTGCGACGGCTGGCCTGGATCGGGCGTCGGCGCGATGCGGTCTTCGGCGGTATGTCATCTGGCTTTAGATCGACGGCGGCGTCGAGGGCTTGGTGGACTGCTTGACGGCACCCATGGCAGATCTGTTCTGGCTGGTATAGCCAGTGGTAGTGGTCATCTTCTTCGTCGGCGGTGGCCAGCCAGAAGCTTGGTGATCGGATCTCGAGATCCATCATCTAGTCCCGACTGCGAGTTGGGGAGACATGGTTGCCGGTGAAAATCGAGCCGACGGCAGGCGATTGCGGCGTTCTACGCCGTTACCTTGATGAAGGCATCGTCGTTTAACTACTGTCGACCCACTCGTGCTGCTCCGGGGGAAACCCTAGAATCTGGTGTTCCAGATCGGACAATGGCGGCACTGCGGTGTCGTTTCTCTCTTGGGAGCATCGTTTGTGGAGCAGCGCTGAAAGTCAGAGGCAGGAGGTGGAGCGGCTTCGTCTTGCACGGAGCTTCGGTGGGGATGTCAAGTCATGCCTAACCGACAGGTGCTACGCTTGGTCATGCCTGGTCGGCAGGTGCTACGCACGACAGATTCTCCAAGAACTTCATGCTGTGTTGGCTGGTGATACTTAGCATCATGGTGCTGAGGTGTATCAGTGGCGCCTGTGACGTATTCAGTTGTTTGCGCGCAGGGAGGAGGTGCCGTTGGGCGTCGTGGTGGCGTCGACGATAGCTGGACCGAGCAAGGTTGATGCATCAGTACAATTCTGAAGATGGAGCGGTGGCAGTTGGCGGCGGCGGCCTCTGAGAGCACGCCGGACCAGTGTGTGCCCCAGACCCGGCAAGAGGCTAGGTTAAGGTCTCAGGTCTTAGATGTTAGGCTTGGCTGCGATGTCTATTTGGTATTAGGCCCAGGCTATCTGCGCCCCTTCATCAACTGGATATGTGTAGCGACGGTTTGTTGATTAGATGGCGGCTTTAGTCTTACTGTTGTATTTATTTTGTAAGGTCTTGTGAGAATAATTAATAAAGTGGCCGTATGCATCGTCCAGATGCAGAGGCTGGGGTCATCCTCATTTTCTAAAAAAAATAAAAAATGCATGACATGTCGCAAAACTTGTCCAACATCTATGTATGCCATGAAGATAATTATGAATGATATAGTTACAAAAGTAATAGTCAAATAAGCATCTTAATTGTGATATAATTTGGAATGAAGAAGGAATTGTTACTTATCTTATCTGAGTGTACTTCACCATGTCGGACAAAGCTTTGTGGCTCCCTGCACACTATATAGGATGTGGGAAGATAATCTAGAATCTCCAAAGAGGCCACAGGTATGTCATGATGATACCATAACGGTGTAAAAGCAACTCTAGTTTTTCTTAGAAAAGAAGGAATATCCCCGGCATGCATACGGCCATTTTATTAATTACTAACACAAGACCTTACAGAGTTATACAACAGTAAGACCAAAGCCACCATCTAAGCAATATTTGTCGCTACCATTATCTAGTTGATGAAGGGGCGCTGATAGTCTGGGCCTAATACCAAACAGACCTTGCAGCCAAACCTAACATCTAAGACCTGAGGTCCCAACCAGGACGCCTGCCGGATATGGGCACCCACCAGTCCGGCGTGCTCCTCAATCAGGACGCTTGCCGGGTATGAGGCCGCCACAGCCACCTGCCACGAATCCATCTCCAGAGATGTACTGCTGCATTGACCTTGCCCGGTCTAACTGCCGCCGACGCCACCGCGACGCCAGACAGCATCGACCTCCTGTGCATGTCCATCACCACACATCTGACGCCAAGCCTCCGCTGCTCCATGCCGCCAAGAGCCGCCGCCAAGAATATGTAGAAAGAAACACCGCTCCACCGAAAGGGAGGCAACACACCCCCACCCCTCACCTGCAGACCCTCCCATCCGAACCCAATGTCCCTGGCGCCGCCTCCAGGAAGGTTACGATGCACGGGGCACCGCCGACACCCGATCCGCATCGGATCTTGGGCTTTCACCCAGACATGGGTCGGAGTGGAGAGTTGGTGTCCTCAGCAGTGCCCCCTGTCGATGTCAAAACCGGCGGATCTCGGGTAGGGGGTCCCGAACTGTGCGTCTAAGGCTAATGGTAACAGGAGGCGGGGGACACAATGTTTACCCAGGTTCGGCCCTCTCGATGGAGGTAATACCCTACTTCCTGCTTGATTGATCTTGATGATATGAGTATTACAAGAGTTGATCTACCACGAGATCGTAGAGGCTAAACCCTAGAAGCTAGCCTATGATTATGATTGTTGTCGTCCTACGGACTAAACCCTCCGATTTATATAGACACCGGAGAGGGCTAGGGTTACATAGAGTCGGTTACAGAGAAAGGAATCTTTACATCTGAATCGCCAAGCTTGCTTTCCACACAAAGGAGAGTCCCATCCGGACACGGGACGGAGTCTTCTATCTTCTATCTTCATAACCCAACAGTCCGGCATACGCATATAGTCCGGTTGTTCGAGGTCCCCTTAATCCAGGACTCCCTCACCCCCCAAGGAGGAAAGCGGCGCCAAAAGGCGGCGGCGCCGCTGTCGGCCAGCCAAGGCGGCCAAGGTTTCCCTCGGACACCAACCTGCTCCACCAGAACACACCGGAGGCGGATCCGGCAAGATCCAAAGCCAAACCGAGGA